CAATTCAATCAAGTAAAGAGCAAGACCTCTGAAAACGAAGCTCCATCAAAGAAGAGAAAATCAGAGTGCGAGGATTACACGAACCACGTGATGGATTCAGTGAGAGCAGCTCTAGCCATGAAGAGTGGAGCAAAAAGCCCAAGGAGTGTGTTAAACCCAATATATCAAGGGTTCTAGTCCCCACAAATCCCTCGGATACCAGCCTGGTAGGTTCCCCGCTGTTCAATATTTCTTCCCAGATTGAATCTTCTAATGATGGATGTTTACAGATTGTGAGGGATGGATATCAGTGGAGGAAATATGGTCAAAAGGTCACAAGATAACCCCTGTCCGAGAGCATATTTCAGGTGCTCCTTGCCTCAACTTGTCCAGTTAAGAAAAGGTGAGTCTTGCTCCTGATTGTATCGGGTATTTGAATTCAGGCTGATCTTATGGGTCAGAATTGACAGGTCTAGAAACAATATTTGTTTCTGATTGTTGTTTTCGGTATTGGTTTCCAGGTGCAAAGAAGTGCTGAAGACCCATCGGTATTAGTGGCTACATATGAAGGAGCGCACAACCACGACCATAATGCTCCGGCAGAACAAGGATCATTAAGCCCCAGCAGCAACAGGGGTTCAGCATCTGCCCAAACCAAAGCTTCAGCTCCTAGGGTCACTCTTGATTTGATGCAACTAGCTGGATTGGGGGATGATACCCAAAATCCAGCTCAACTAATTGATGCACCAGCTATCCACCAACTCTTAGTTCATTAAATGGCTGCTTCTTTGACTAGAGACCCTCATTTCACAGTAGCTCTTGCTGCAGCCATTTCAGGCCGAGTTGTAAACCAAAATATGATAAGAAAGTCATAGTTTTTTGTATCTTCTTTTTCTTGGCTCAGTTGAAAATGTGAAAAGAATATTCTATTGCAGTCCAAATATTATCAGAGCTTCCCTTCTCAATTACATACAAATCATAAGCCGTTCAATGAATAATTAACATACAGAGACTAAAATGTCATTTTTAAAGTATAGGGACTGAAATGAAATGATACATATAGTACAGAGACTTGTACTACTCTGTCAATCAATTTCTTTATATTCAAACTTCGCAGCTGCCAGCTGATAACTTGTCTATATATACTTACTTTTCCCGGTTTGGGCCAAAATAGAGATTCCCTCAAGGCAACGGGCCATCGTTTAAATGACTCGTGTTAATCGGTCATCACTCGTTTTCTTCTCGGAAAAGAAAAGAGAAAATTAACGAAGACGGGAAAGCTCAAAGTCCACGAGTTTGTCTACATCTGTCCACTAACCCATGGACCTCATAAGTCATAACCAGCAAAGTTGGTGCAAAAAAACAAAACAAGAAAGTGATGCATTCAAATAATTAATTAAGATCTAAGTGCTTACTTCAGTCACATGATCATACCCATTGCGTTATCAATTCCCATATACACTTTATTAGATACCTATGGCCATGATTATGAAACACTGAAAAATCTCTTTGAAAACTAGAAAGGAAGGCTCAATTCGCTTTTCCACTTTGGAAAATATTTCCAGAACCCACTCTCGTTTTCATTGATATAAATCAATAAGATTTTGCTTTTAATTTCACCTACTATCATGGATGCACCACACTTTAACAAAGGGAAGGTTGATTATTACTTTATGAATATTGTCATCTTTGATATGCATCTCCTTATAGAGAGTTTTGTGATAAATTTTAGGAAAAATTTGCAGGTGGAAACAGAGTTGGAAAATTTGCAGAAAGAGAACCAAAGGCTTAGATTATTGTTAGAAGCAATGAGCAGAAAGTATAAGGTGCTTCACGAAGCCTATGTCCAAGAATCAAACAAGGGAGCAAGGCCTCAAGTTGCTAAGGCGTCACATGTTTTTGTGAAAACGGACCCTAGAGACAAGCTACTTTTCTTAGCATTACTGTGTAACAGCTAGATTTTCAGATAGTTAAAGATGGTTTTCAATGGAGGAAATATGGCCAGAAAGTTACTAAAAACAAACCCTCACCCCGAGCTTATTTCAAGTGCTCTGTGGCTCCTGATGTCCGGTCAAAAAGAAGGTATATAGTAAAATTATATGCTCAAACTGAGCTTGTTTCTTGAACTTGTTTTGGGATCTTTGTTTATAGGTTCAGCGATGCGTGGAGGATGAATTGTGATGGCAACATATGGACAGCACAATCATGATGTTTGTTCTACATCACCAGGAGGACAATCATTGTCTTCTTCGGCAACTAAATTTCCTTATGCTTTAGCCGCCGCAGTTGCCCGCTCCCGAACTGCTGGACTGCCTAAACCATCAATCTCATTAACTTGAAAAGAAACTAAAATGCTAGAGGTTATTATAAAACCCGGACTCTGGTCTGAGTTACCGACATACAACAATTTTGTTACTTTAACTACGCCTATTTCCGACAACATAATTCGTTTCTTCATCACTAGACTTTCAAGGAATATGTTTTGTTCATCGTCAATTGAGTTGGCAAAGCCTCATTTCATTTTGTGAATTCATTTTCTTTATACTGATGAGTGATCTAATATAGTCAGGAACAGCCTGGCCAACTGGGAAGGTACTCTCAACCACCCTAAGCAGTATCGTGCCAGCTGGTCAGTCCGGTCCATGACAGTCAAAAGGCTATATACCGAGTTATATATTATCACTGTTAAAATTAGGAATACTAATCCAGAAATGAGTTGGCTTTTCGTAGGTTGGTAGCTCCATATGTACACTTGAGTGTTGAGACCCAGCTTCATACAAGAGATGCTATTATTTTGTATCGATGATAATCTACAACCAATTCTTAAAAAGTATTCACACTTGCATTCCTTTTGACTAAAATTTTACACAATGTTTATATATATACTGAAAAGGAGAAAAAAGTAAAACTATTATATAAAGTTGTGTTCCTATATTTTTACAACAAAGCTTTTTTGGCACCGTACAAGTAGCTTGAGAGGACCCTAATATGAACCTCATCCATCGGTTCTGCTCCAAAACCAGAAAACATGTTAAAGAATTAATGCAGTTAAATAACTTACAATTTGAAATTAGTATTTGGACTCACCATTCACCACCTGCATGTATTTGAAATTTACAACTCCTCATTCTCGCGCAGTCTCATCTTAGACTACGCGTTCTTCTCCGATACATTTGTGCTCTAAGCTTCCAAGAGTTTTCCCTCCACTGAGCAAAACATTCAGAATGTCAAGTTAAGCGGTAGAATCCATCATTGAATAGCAGTGCTCGCGATTGGACCTTGTATCAAGTGCTGAGAGCTTCAGACTCCTTCATGGAAGTACTAATTTTTTGGCTTCTCATTTTCTGCCTCCTTAGCTTTCTTCTTATCATTTTTCAAGTTGCTTGCAGTTTTCCTCATGTGCTTTGACAAACATCCTCGAAAAGCTGAGCAGAGTAGCCATGACTATAGAAAAAGTTGCAGACAAAAGGGAAAGTGATAAATCTGAGTAAAATACACTCTAGAGATAAAACTGCAGCTGAGATTCACAAGGGTGCTAATTTTTTTCCGAAAGCACAAATTACTTAAGATGGAACATATTAGCACAAATGCTAGCTATGATATCCAAAGTAGATCAACTTTACTGTAGGCATCCAAAGTGACCTTGATAGCATCCTGATGCGAAAACGACAATTGGTTATAGATCAAGCAGGGGTCACAGCCATCATTTAGGACAACATCAGTCAAATTATTGCTTTCGGGGATAAGTAGAAATATTAGTACCATAAAAGAAAACCATTATATTTCCATTATCAAAAGTAACGAAGTGTTGACTTGATAAACTTTTGGGTCCTAAAATGATGCAGGGTTAAACATTAATTGGACTTATTAAGACCAAACAACCCCTTGCTCAAATGGGCAACGTGCAGGATCTTCTCCAAAATAATGAGCCAATGCATCTGCATTTTTTACCCTGAAGGCATCAATTTAGAGATGCTTATGAATTGTTTTCTTGGTGGCACATCAAATATGCAAGAATAAAGCCTCCTTAACATAATGCATACCACGTAAGTATGAAGCGCAGTCAAAGACTTGACTTCCCCTTCAGCAAAACTAAGGAACTCCTTTACAGTCTGAAGATTATATAAATAAAAGCATTTACTGTTAGAGAAATATGAAGAACAAGAAAAATGAGAATTAGAGAGAGCACAAGTTATTTGAAGACTGATCCAAACGAAATATGATTCCCGAGACAAGAGATAGAGTTTATAGTAGCTCAATGGTCATGGTACTCTTGATTAGCACTTGAAACATTTGAAGGCTGAAGAAGTGCTGCCTTTAGGCACATAGGTGTCAAAACGAATGAATATTTGGCAAAATAATTCGGAAGGCTGTTCACAGCAGTCCATTTTTATCAAAAGCCAACGCTGAATCATAGACTATTGCATGAGATTAAAGCTCAAGAGATTTGATCAAAGTCTCGGATCAAAACAGCTCTAATCAAGTTTCTTTAACCAATGTTGAGTTAACTTCCCATTTAGTTCTGCAAAGGCCAAAACTGACCTAATAATTACTAAAGATCCTGGTTGAGAACTTTAATGCACCATCTTGTTCCTCTTTAAAGATTATGTATTTTAGTTAAGGGAAGGGGCGCGGGGGAGAGCTGGTTTGGAGACTTGGAAAGCCAAGATTGTGGTGTCCCTAACAGGCACTGCATGAAATATAAGAAGAAATCCAACCAACATGTAAATGTGCAGAACCTGATTGATATGCAAAATAACAATTTAATATATAGGAAATACCTTACAAAATGTTGCAGACACTGGACATCCTTTTCCGAGGCAGCTAGTTCTTGGATGACCTTCTCCAACCCTTTACTAATGGCTTGCATCGTCTGCCAAACATTTCAATTGTACCTGCATGGTAATCAATAATTTTGCTTAACATCACATGGAAAAGGTTAAGCAATTTAAATATGACCTGAAAAGGCCATAAAAATCTTACCTTTGTTGCAGATTCCAAAGTCGCAAGGTCTTTTGGAAATCTATTAATTCTGGCAACTTTTGGCTCAGGACCTAAAAGTTAGAGGCCGTAAAGAGTAAGTATAAATCGACATTCTCACATATAATAAGGTATGGTTTGCAATGTCAATAAAAGCATTTTCTACAATGGCAATAAGTTAATGATTGCAAAAGTAAAACAACCCAACATACCATGCATTTTCTGCAATAATTTTCATGATATTAGTAACCTTTAAATTTGAAAATTAGTCTTCAACAAAATTGAAAAAGGATGCAGTGAATGTCTGCACGCATTCAAGCATTTTACTTGGTACAATAAGACAGGCATTCCATCTTGAAACATAAGTGTAGGAGTACAAGATATTCAAGTTATTCAAACAAATTTAACAGGAAAGATCAGAATCAAGAAAATTAAGGTAGATGGTCTTGTACCTTACAAAGATAATGCATGAGAGTCATCTTTTTATTCCGAGCTCGTGTATCTGTGAGTTTAAGGAGACTATCCAACCGAAAACCAACAGCAGAACCTGTGGGACGAACCATAAATTACTGAAATGTTTGGAGCAAATTGATGCTTCTTGAAAAATTTGTACAGATATGACATCTAGGGATTCGATTTCTATTCTTAGCAGTTAAGGTAAAAATACAGGATTACAGACCGTGTTAAACATTTAAGAGACTCAATTAACAATAAGGAAACAGTGAAAATACACAACTCATTCAAGAAATAACAGAAGGCAAATCAGCAGTGAAAAGGCTGACCTTGTTTCCCATTAACAAATTTATCTAAGCAGAATGGGATACAAAAAGATGACTAATAAGATAGTTCTTCATCTATTAATAAAATATACCTCCTCAGTTAAATCACTCACCCCTAGCAGTTCCTTGGTTCAAAGCATTTCCCAGAGAAAGAATAGTTTGCATGATCCTTTTCAATTTGACCGAATTCCTCACCTGGTGAATGCATTGGTGAAATGGTTTAAATGACTAAAATCTTCAGGAGAAATAATACCTTTAATTGGAAAAGCTAATTTATGTCCAAAAAAAGCTTAACTTGCCTCTCCAATAGCAGAGTTTACAATGTCCAAACTATTTCTAAGATCAGAAACCTGCAAAGGTGCAAGAAGTACCAATTAGGTGACAACAACAGTAGAAAGCATCTCATACCAATCTGAGTACACAGGTTCTCCTCATACCTGGAATAAAATTGTATTTGAATAAGAAAACTCTTAGCTTAGACTCTACTGGTGGCACTGTCATCAATTCTAGGAAAAACTGTCACCAAATACTGAGCAAGTAATCAGATTATATGCAAACTAAATTGTTAAAGAAACGTGTACAACCCAAAGATACTCTGCTGACCTGTTCGCATTTTCCCAAGTTCCCTGTCTCCCGTATTTCGTTTTTATTTAATTATATGTGGTCACCATGAGTTAACATTAATAGATTAGTTGACGGGTAGTTAAATATTAATATATCACACATTCGGGGTCCATATTATTTACATATTATCTCAATTTAGTCATATTATTAAAGAATTGGGTAAGAAACTAACCTGAGAATCCAAAGAATTGTTAATAGAGTCAAGGGGTACATTTCTTAAGAATATGTTAATATATAATTAATTATTAATATTATTACATAGTGCAGGACCAATTACACTGTGTAAAATTCTTTAGTTTTACATCATTTTAGGGCCATTGGATGAGAAAAATTAAAGACTGAGTTTAATCGTGGTAAATGAACGATATTCACTAAAAAAACGAGTTGATCTCATCCTTTTATTTCTCTCAATCAAATGGCAATAAAAGGTGTAAAACTAAAAGAGTTTTACATAATGTAAGTAGATCTACTCTTTTAAGTTCTTGACGATATCCAGAGTGGTCGAATGATAATACTACGGGGCGTCAGTACAACGAGGTCGTAGGCATTGATCATCGTCATTGTCGTGTCATCTTGTCGAGGTGTACCAACACTTTGTCCCCCTACATCATTGTTCAAATAAACCAAAAATCATGCACCCACACACCTTAACAAAATATCTAACAGAGACCAACAAAATTATACAAATGATAATGCCCCTATACCCTTGCACATCATTCAAAAACTAAGTTTCCCAAAGCACTGAAATTAAACACACCATCGAAAGTGAAATCCACCAAATGGCAGATGCCCTTAAATCCGAAGCGACATTCACTCCATCGAGTAAATACACTGGACTTCCCTATCAGTCCCAACCCAATATACAAATAATATAATACATCGTATAAATTCTAAGTTTGATATATTAACATTTCACATAGCATTTTCTGAACAAAATACCAAAAAATCAATAATCGTAAAACATTCATACTTGCAATAAATAGAAAAAATATCACTCAATCAAATAACTCAAACAAATATAGCACCCTATAAAGACACTTGATAAAATATTCTAAGGGCTAACCAAACAATAATAGTCATAATCGAATATTATTCAAATGATCAGCATCCATACACCTTACACACCGTCGAATATTATGCAATAATAATCTGAAACAAGCAATAATAATCATTGTTCGAATATTATGCAAATAATCACGCACCGGTACCCTTACAAATCATCCGAAGTTGGGTCTGCCACAAAGGCTGAGGCCACTGAATCCAAAGTGACATCCTTATATAACTTGACAACATATATAATCAGAATTCTGATTTTATCCGAATGTAAGAATATAACATAATAAATAATCCAAATGCATTGCCTAATTTCTATGTTCGATATATCAACATTTCACAAGACATTTCCAAACAAAATACCATACAATCAATAATCTCAAACAGTTATGCACACAATAAACAAGAAAATGTCAATCAATCAGATAACTAACAAAAACATATTGCACCGTACAGAGAAACACATTGAATCAAACTTATACAAATCACATTTTAATTCACATCATCTAACACATCATGTCTTTAAAATCTATAAAGTCACAATTCACATCATAATCTGAATCAAACAATGATAATCATTATCCAAATCTAACATTAATAATCTGAGTTTGAATTATAATTTAATTTAAGAATATATTATCCAATCAAACAATGATAATTATTATCCAAATCAACAATGATAATTTAAATTAATTTCATTTAAGAATATATAATATAATTTAATTAATATATTCTTATGATACTTTATAATTTATAATTTAAATATTATTATTATATTAATAAATTATATAAATAATTTTATTTAAGAATAAATTAAAATCAGAGTTTGAAAACCAATCAGTAAGGGAACAAATCAAACATATAAGCAACATACCATTGTTCCCTTGTTTCAAGTATATCTCTAATTTGAAACATCTTCACTGCTCAAGACAAGTTGACCGCGTACGGATTGGAGCTCCTAAGATGCAAAAGGAATTTAGTAAGTAAAATTTCTACTACTTTCCCAAACTTATACAATTAAAATAGTCGAAGAACTATGTGGCCCATCATAAACATCTGAAAAAGCTATACCTTGTGCAGGTCTGAGTTTTAAGCCTCTGCTACAAATGCTATTTTTGCTTTAACTGGACAGACAACAATTTCTCATTGTGGAGGGGTGATTCCTAGTTCTTCTTTCTCTACCTTGACATTGCTAAGTGTGCTCTTCAGTCTCCTCACCTTTGGATTTCTGCATGCACTCATACTTAAGTGAAATAATAAACCAACGATACAGAAAATGTGAATCTGAACACATTAAATCTTCAATGGCAGATATAAAACAAACATTCAAGACATACTCAGAGTATGTGCTTTGTATCAGAGGATTCAAGTTCAACCATAGATTTTCAATTAAGCTTAAATGGAATTGATATTGAATACAGATTTCGAGTCTCGAGTGTTCTCCTTGCCAGGGTTAGGCAATGAACTACATTTACTGTCCCATACTTGACAGTAATGCATAACTATTTTCACTTAAAAAATAATGCTAAACCATTGAACATAAGAAAGTTTCGTACTTCAAATTTGCCATCAATGCAACTATTAGCTATAGGTTCACATCACTATCTCAGAAGAATCTTAGTCAATATAGTCTATGATTTCATGCAAATGCATATCTAAACTTTTTTCAATAAGAAGGGAAGCCTCATTAAAACCCACTTCATATCCATTGAAATACAGAAGGTATCTCAATAAACATAGAAAGAAGGAAAGAGTGTCTCAAATGTATAACTAAACTAAAGGCTAATTTACACAATTCATCTATTTATGTAACAATAGAACTAAAGCTCAACAGGAAAGATAAATTATTTAGTAAAAGCAAGTCTGTAACGTATCCCGTGGTGGATCAAAGCTGAGCTTTGACCCTCGTCGCCTATTTGCGATGAGGGGGTGTTTTGTACATTCTAGTTATACCTACGTCCATTACTCCATAGGATTATAGAAGAAAAAGGCATCATTTTTCGGCATAGATCTTCTCCATTTCTAGGTTTCTAGAAATACCGTTAAATGATACTAACATTTACGATAAACTATTTACTTAATCAGACATTGTTGACAAAGTTTTTCTTATGTAAGAACATTTGAAAGGATATTTCTGGTGATAATAAACCATACCATTGTTTGAAACTTAGATTGCTGCAAATAAAATCCGTCAACACAAATAAAAAATCTAACAAAAAAGGGTCCAATTATAACTCACATTTGTTGAAGAAGATTTTGCACCTATAAAATCAAAGAAATCGTTATCAAACACATAGAGGAAATTAGCAAACCAAAGCAACTTATTACTGATTTACATCCATTAGAGAGTATTATCCGCAGGACAATCTTAACAGTTCAAAATGAATCAAATCGACAGTGATTATGCCACCATGGTACTAGCATAAACATCATACTTTAAAAGTAGTTCTTTAATCATACAAAGAAAAGTTAGGAACTCCCACAAACAATAAAATCAACAGTATTTTGCTTTGCTTGTCCGAATTATAACCATCCTGAAAAAAGTGTAACAATCACTTTCAAATTACATATCATTAGCCGATCAAATCCTCAACTACCTAGAAACTTTACTCCTCTAACAAATTTACACAAACATCAAGTTTTTACGAATTTGGGCGGAAACTGCATAGGAACTATGAAAATCTCAAAAAGAACAAGCAATTGCATGCCATTAATTAAGATTTCAATCTAAAAGTACATTAGACTGATAACAAGCCCATATATTAAGCCCCCAACGCCAGCATTTCAAGCACAAACAATTTTAATCCCCAAAAACAAATATAATAATTTATAGTTTAATATTACTATTAATATTATGATTTTGATAAATTATATAAATATTTAATTTCATTTAAGAATAATTAATAAATCTAAGTTTGAAAACCATTAAATAAGGGAAACAAATCAAAACACTATAAGCAATGTACGGAAAATCTTTATAAAATATTTTAAATAATATTAGAATAATCTAAATTAATTTATTTAAGAATATATTAATAATTTTATAATATGATTGGAAATGTCAACTTCAAATATGTGATTTTGTTGATTTATAGCTTATTTGAAACGCAAAAACATTAGTACTTCCTTACTAGTAGAAGTAACATTTTACCTGGCTTGTACATGCAACAAAATTGCCACTTAGATTCCATGGAGTTATCTGCTGCTCCAATTCAATGTTTGATGCAGTAGCAAGAGTTGACTCATAGCACTGGTTAGAGTTGTTAGTTGTGTGATTCCTAAATGTTTAAGCCGATACATACCAGCTTGCATGCTTTCATAGGCACACACATGTACAAGATTGAGAAAAGAAAAAATCAAGATAGATGAAATATGTGAAACACATGCATTTCTAACCTCATAGTCTTTCTATATTTTCTCTAAATATTACACATATCAAGGATCATAGGATAGAAACAAAGCATCTTGTTTTTCATTTCTTTTGTCTAATATATGAAGCTAAAGCATATTCATTTCATATATGCAGAATAATAAATAAAGGATAGAAATAAAAACGATACTTAATGATC